TAGTATTATCACTATTTCTTTAAAATTTTAGTCATTCTAGTAGGTGTAGAGTGGCATTTCACTGTTGCTTTAGTTTGCATTTGCCTAATATCTAATTATATTTAACAATTTTTCATGTGTTTATTTGCCATTTGTGGATTTTCTTTGAAGAAATGTCTGTTCAAAGAGCTGACTCACTTTGGTTTTAAAATGTGCCAAATCATCCACATCTCTATCTCTAACTTCCCCCCAAGACTTCAGATGGGGATGTAAATGCTGCAAATGCCTCCTGACTTCATGGAAGTCCCCCCCACCGCTGTAATCCCAATATGGCCAAAGCCAAAACCACCATCCTACAGGAGTCCTGGGCCTCCCCAGTGGAAGAGTACCACTTAGAGGGCTTATCTTGTGCTAAACACTGTTCCAAGTGCTTTACATATTTTAATTAACTTAATCCTTACAATGATCCTTTAGGTAGTACTGGGTTTTTGTTTTTGTTTTTTTAAGATTTTACTTATTTTGGGGTGCCTGGGTGGCTCAGTCGGTTAAACGTCTGCCTTTGACTCAGGGCACGATCCCAGGGTCTTGGGATCGAGCCCCATATCGAGCTCCCTCTCCCTCTGCCGCTCCCCCCCTTCTTGTGCTCTCTCACACTCTCTCTCTCAAATAAATAAATAAATAAATAAATAAATAAATAAATAAATAAATAACGATTTTATTTATTTATTGGGATGGGGAAGGAGCAGAGGGAAAAGGAGGCACAGAGATGTTGAGTAACTTACCCAAGCTTGCACAGCTGGCAAGTGGTGGTAGGTCTATCCAGATCCCAGAGTCACCCTTGATTCTCCTGTCTTTCTCACGTCCCCATGTCTGTTCAGTCATTAAAACCTGCGCATTTGCCTTCTGAATATTTTACTTTCATCATCTTTCCTCCAACCCTTATAACTACTGCTCTGGTGCAGCCATCTTTTCTCTTGTCTGGACCACCATAAGTACCTTTAAACAACAACAACAACAACAAAACCTTTTTATTATAGAAGATTTCAGCAATACAAAAAAGTAGAGACTAGTACAATGAATACGCCCATTGCTACAACCAGTATAAACTCATGGCCATTCACTTCATCTGTACCGCCCATTTCCTGTTGCTGCCTAACTGCGTTATTTTGAAGCAAATTCCAGCATATTAATGCATCTATAAATATTTCAGTATGAGTCTCTAAAACAACTTTCAAATAACAGTCACAATACCAGGGGCGCCTGGGTGGCTCAGTCGGTTAAGCGTCTGCCTTCAGCTCAGGTTGTGATCTTAGGGTCCTGGGATGGAGCCCCATGTCAGGCTCCCTGCTCAGCGGGGAGTCTGCTTCTCCTTCTCCCTCTGCTGCTCCCCCTGCTTGTGCTCTCGCTCTCTCAAATTAAAAAAAAAAAAAAAAAATCACAGTAACATTCTTCACATTATGCATTAGGTATTTCTTTAAATCATTAACTAATCATATTTGCATTAGTTATCCACTGCTGTGTAACTGGGTGGTTTAAAACAAGAATAAACATTTATTGCTGCTCACAGTTCCCGTGGGCTGGAAACCTGAGAGCAGATGAGCTAGGTGGTTCTGGATCAGTGTCTCCTGAGATGCCAGTCACCTGGAAGTCCAACAGGTCCCGGAGGATCTGTTTTCCATGCAGCACATCGACACTGGCTGGCAAGTGGGTGCTGGCTGTTGGCAAGGGGCTCCAGTCCTCGGTACCAGGGCTCTCCACAGGGCAGCTTGAATGGCCTCACAACCTTGCCTGGTTTCCCCAGAGCAAGCGAACCAAGGATCCAAGGAGGAAGCTGCAAGACCTTTCATGACCCAGCCTCATAAGTCACACACATGTCTACAATATTCCCTGGGTCACACATGCCAGCCTGCTTCATTGTGAGAGGGTGGGAATACCAGGAGGCCAGGATTTTAGAAGGTCATCCTAGAGAACGGTAACCACAGGTTCAAATTGCCCCAGTTGTCTGTCTCTCTCTCATTTATAGTTGGTTTATTTGAATCAGGATCCATGCTTGCATTTTGTTGATATGGCTCATAAGTCTTATTCTCTAGGTTCCTTTCCCTCTTGTTTTTTCATTTTGTCTTTCCTTTGCCTTTTTTTTTTAAAAGAAGCCAGGTTGTTTGTCCTTAGTTTTACATTTACTGGATTTTGCTGCTTACATCCCCATGATGTCATTTAACACAGTCCTCTGATTCATGTCTTTCCTGTAAACTAGTACTTAGATCTAGAACTTAATATGATTTGGATTCTTTTTTTCCCCCCAAGAAAACTTCAATGGTAATGTTTTCATTATTTCATTAGAGGTTTACAAAATAGTGATAAATTAACCCTATAATTCCATCATCTAATAGCGGGAATATTTCTGTAGATGGAAACTTTGACTCACTTTTTGATTACCTTGAAGCAGTTATTACAGAAAAGATACATGCTTGTTTCTTTCCCTTTATTAACAAGTACTAGCATCCTTCAAAGGTGACCCATAAGATATTTTTAAAATATCATCATGAACTTGTAGATTTAAAACACTTGACAAATGATCGCATCTTCAGCCAGGAGGCACCTCTTCAGGTTAGCCCCTGCATCCCTGACTTATACCAGCCACCTCTGACTTGTTTACTCTCTGCCATGGCATCATGCTCCGGGTTCATCCTGCACATCTCCTACGCAGACCCCTCAGCACCATGTCCCCAAGAAGCTCTGGTTCTTTTTAGTGGGAAAGAAAAAAGACCACAATCTGGGTGTAGTTATCTTTACCTTTCAACGGCACCTGACCCTGTCCATCCTCCAGTCACCTGAGATGTAAAAATGCAAAGCTGACCACTCCCCTGCTCAAAGTCCTAACAGGGACTGTGTCACCCTCAGGACAAAGCCAGTTCCTAAGCACAGAATAGCCAGTCCTGGGGCGCCTGGGTGGCTTAGATGGGTGAGCGTCTGCCTTCGGCTCAGGTCATGATCTCCAGGTCCTGGGATCGAGCCGTGTCGGGCTCCCAGCTCATCGGGAGTTTCCTTCTCCCTCTGCCTCTCCCCGTTTGTGCTCTCTCAAATGAATAAATAAAATCTTAAAAAAAAAAAAAAAAAGCCAGTCCTGTTACTGTTTCCCCATTTCCCCTTCCCTCCCACTTCCCCCCAGTCTCCTTAAACTTTAAAATCCAGCAGAACCTAATGTTTTGTTGCTCCGGTACCTATCTTCACCTCACCGCCGGTCTCACTTTAACTCAATCTTGGAGATTCAGCTTTCTCAGGTGTCCTCTCCAAAACACTTTTTCCTGAACCACCAGGCAGGAAATGTCTCCCACTGTTGTCTCACGGCCACCGTGCCTACACCCATGTAAGCACCTAACATCTCCACGCAGCTCTCTTGTGCTGCTCAGCTGTAAAGAGCTCAAAAGCGGTCATTGCCTTATCCAGCTTTACCCCCAATATGGAGTACATCGTCTGGTGCCTAGTGGATGCCCCCATCTGATCACCTGCTTAGGCAGGACACTCTCTTCCCGGTGCAGAAGTCCTTCCCCTTCTGCCCCCCACCAGTGCCTTCTTCACTGTACTTGAGGCCTGCACGTCTGCTAGGCATGGAAGGAGCTGCTGTGTTAATCTTCTGTTTAATCTCTATTTGGTGGGCTCACTGGGGAAGGACCCAAAAGGGAGCTCACTCTCCTACTCGAGTTACTAAGATTGGGGATGGGGAAGATTTTGCCCAAACCACCTCACACTGCCTTCTCCACTCCAGCCAGCTGGAGCCCCAGCCAGGATGAAGGTGGGGATGGAAAGGATGATACCAACCAGGAGGCACCGACAGTGTAAAGTCACCCACACAGAGCAACAATGAACAGAAGCTCTGGAGACAGTGTGCCAGGATTTTTTGGACAGATTTGCCACCACCTGCTGGCATGACCTGGGAAGTTATTGATCATATGTAGTAAATACACCCCCTTCTTAGGCTATTGGGAGCATTAAACAAAACACAGAAAGCACCTTGCAGTGCCTGATTTATTGTGAGCACTATGTTGTACCTGGTAAGTGAAGGCCACTTCCCCCAAACAGAAGGGCTTTAGAGTTTCTGAGACTGGAGTTTTTCTTTTTTTATTTGCGAGAGAGAGAATGAGAGACAGAGAGCATGAGAGGGGGAGGGTCAGAGGGAGAAGCAGACTCCCCGCCGAGCAGGGAGCCCAATGCGGGACTCGATCCCGGGACTCCAGGATCATGACCTGAGCCGAAGGCAGTCGCTTAACCAACTGAGCCACCCAGGCGCCCGAGACTGGAGTTTTTCAAAGTCAGCAAGAGAAAAAAGGTTGAGAAGAGAGTTTAAGGTACACTTTCCAAGTTGGGGAGAGTGGTTAAGGGATGGGGGTAGGTGGAATCCAAGAGGTCAACTGGGAGTAACCTGAACCAGTCAGGGTTAACAGTCAAATCCTAAGAGGAAGCTCTGTGTCTACAATAAACATGGCAACTAGAGGGCAAGCATGCTGAAATGGAATAACCTAATTATAATGCAAACTGGTTTATAATCTCATAATCTCTGAAGACAAGCATTTTTGTATTTTTCACTGATGATTCCTATCACCTAGAAGAGGGCCTGGCCACAGCAGGTGACCAAAAAGACTTGCAGAACGAGTAGAGTATGATGCCTTTCCCATTATGCATCCAAAATTCCAAAGCCTGGCTATCTCCTCTGGAACCGATGGCACATGCTGCTACCACAAAGTGCCTGAAGGCTGTGGGGTGGAGGGCGGGAGGACGGGAAAAGGCCTGGGCTCTATACCGCACACAGGAAATTCCCAAAAGTTGTGGCAAGCTGGGGCCAGAGTGGGAGGCCTACGAGGGGGTGGGGTGGGGGGGCTATTGCTTTCTGGTCACCAGTCTGCTAAGTATAGATCAGAATCTCAATCCTGTTCCACTCCCAGGCCCTACTTCTAAGGCAAGTCAGACAGTACCCAAGTCCATGTTCAGCTGTGGCCTTGAATTTAACACACACTTAGACCAGGAAAGGTTAAGGAATTTTCTTTATTTTTTACAAATTAAGACTATGGAGATTTCATATATTTCTGAATCAAAAACACCTCTGTCTTCACAGTATGAGTTAGAGAATGCAGCCTGAGCTGAAAACCAAGGAACTAGAAAAGAAAGTGATAATTACAGTGATTACTGTATTAAAAACCTGTTAGGCATTTTCTTTAAAAGTCGTTTTTTAGATCTTGTCATTCTTGGCACTGTTTCTAAAGAAAAACTCCTTTATCCCAAGCAAAAAAGCACAAGAGGTGGAGTTTGGCTTCAAGAGATGTAACTCAGGATTCTCAGGCCTTGGAGAGAATCAACAAATTTACAGAGAGGGCGACTGGGTGTTTAAGGGGAAGGAAGTCCCTTTATCCAAAGTTCTCAAGCCAGAGGCTGGAGGCAGCAGCTAGTCAGAGGGCAGCATCCTCTGCAGAAGCCAGCCATTCCGGGCAGCGCGCCACTCCAGGAATGCACAAACTCCCTGGGAACCGCTTCTCGGGCTAGCACGATGATACGGCGCGCTGCGAACCAGCAGCCGCTGGGTCAAGCCGTGTGCTGCTTGTGCATGGGAGAGCCAAAACTGGTATCCTCCTGGCAATGAGCTGTTGATGGCTCAGGCCCCTTCCACGGAAGCCCTGGGAACAGCTGGAGCTACAACTGCTCTCCAGGCTGCCTGCCCTTCTCCGCCAGTGCCCTGCGGCAGCGCCCTGCGAAAGCGCCGGCGATCCCCATGAGTGCTGGCCTCCCACACTCACCACCACCAAGCAAGCTGGAGGGAATCAGAGGTCTTGCAGGTTTGGTCACCTGGCCCTGGCTGGAAGGCTACAGATTTCTGGGAATAGGTGAAGAGACCAAAAACTAAAGTGCATCCGTAAAATGAACGTTTATCTACCGCCCCACATCTCCGGCCTGACCCTATTGGCGTCCAGGTGGGAGAAGACAGAAATGCACTGGACTGTTATGAATGCTGCCTCCCGAGTCATCACAACCCACTTCTGCCGCTCTCAACAAAGAACCATTCAGTTAGCAGCGTTCTTCTCCCCCCCTGCCCCAAACAGGTCCTCATCTGGGTCTGTCCGGCAGGATTAGTTTACGATTACCCCCTAAGATTACCCCCGGGCTCAACCATTCCCTTCCCTAGCCTTCCTCTCCTGGGATCTGCAATCGAAGCCAGGTGGGGGAGGAAACTCAGCAACTAAGGTGATAAAAAATAAAAATAAAGACAGGGGAAGTTTGGGAATTCTATGCTCTCTCTTGCCATACATAACCAGCCTTTTCATAAATACCTGACAAGAATCGGTCTTTCCTTTGTGCTGAAATCCTCCCGCCCCATGGATGGAAAACCGGCAGATTCCCTGAGGGTCAGACCAGGGACAGGGAAAGGGAACACGTCAATCCACATTCCTTTTGGGACAGCAAGACAGAACGGTGTGTTTGCCAGACCAGCAGCGGCTTGGGCAGCTCAGAGGAAGCAAAGCATCCAACAGAAGAGGCTCTTCGTTTTCTTTGTAGGGGTTGACAGTAGCTCAGATGTAATGAGCCTGATTTACAACAGGACCACCAAACTCCTCTCCGATGGAAAGCACACTGCCCAGCCCCACAGGAACTGTGCACAAACCACACGACGCTGAGGAAAAGAGCCGAGGTAGCTCTACCCAACAGTTCAGGTGCACCTGGTGAAGCTCGGGTGGAAAGCGGACTCCTGGAGTTTGCTGTGCTTTGGGTCCCACTCCTCATCACGGTGACCGTCTGGCTGCCTGAGCGGAGGAAGAGGCTAGGGACGGGCTGGACAGAAAAGGGAATGGGGAAGAACCCCAGGAATACGAAGCCAAACTCCAAACTATATTCTGCTAATCAGTTTTTTGATCAAAAAATTCAAAATAGAGAAAACCACAAAGTACAAAAGCTTTTCTGATGCTTTTCATTATCACAGAACACACCACCTGCAATGTGTGCGAAGAGGAAATGAGGGGTGGAGGGAGAGAGGCCAAAATGGGAAAGGCTGCATGGTCATTTCACTTCTTCTCTTTCTTCTTGTCCTAGAAATGGAGAAAAATTGCCCAATTAATTTTTCGCATCTCACATTCAAGCTCTAACTCTTGAATGAGCCAGTACCTGGCTGCCTTTGGTCAGGGACTGGAAGGGAACAGGATGATAAAGAGGAAGGAGAAATACTCCTTCAGTGCGGTAGGACCTGAATCTTAACCATCTTCCACTCATAGTCCCTCAAGTTGCTGACAGACCTGACAAGAATAAAGGTTAAGCAGTTGCTCCCACTTCCAGCCCAAGAGTGCCCAACTGGGCTGCCTGACCACTCCTGCCTTACTCATAACCCCCACAGCTCTAATCCTAACCCGTGAAGGCTGGAGAATGGTAGTCCACCCTAAAATAACTACACAAGAGGCCAAGACCAACTTTCCATTAGCCTGAGAAGCATAAATCCCGAGCACAAACCAACACCCAGAAATAATCTAGCCCAGTGAACTCTGCATTCCATCTTAGGCGGAAGCCCTGTGTATTAAACAGATGCAAGTTGAGTTGCTTTGGCTGAAACCTGCTTGGAGCTCCGTCTAGTCGCAGCACAGGGAAGACCGACAGCCACCAATCCCACCTCCTCACCGGCTTCCACCACCACCACACTGTCTCCTGTTCCCTAAGAAGGTCTATAAAAAACCCTCATGGTTTCATTTGTTCCCCTAATGCTGGAATGGACTATGTTAACCATATACAGAATGCTTCTCTGGAAACAAGACTAACAGACGTATAAAACTGGTCTACTTCTGACACATATTTGTAACAGCCAATATTAAACAAATCCCCTAGAATATCTTTCCCTGAGTCATAACTATCTTCACAGCCTTTAAATTCTTCACATAGTAGATTGTTTCCTGCTGCCACTTAAGCCCCCTTTCTCTTTTGATACTAATCTCAGTGATTTTTCTTTGCTGTTGGGTTTTTTTAAGTAATCTCTACACCCAACGTGGGGCTTGAATTTACAACCCTGAGATTAAAACTCACATGGTCCACCAACTGAACCAGCCAGGCACCCCTTGTTTTTTTTAAGGATTTTTTTTTTTTTTTAACTTGTTCCTTTTTCTCCATGGGCTAAAAGACTTCTGGTTCACCTCTTACGCGGCAGCCTGCCTTACAGTTAACCTGGAGCTACACAGTGTGTCAGTTCTCAAATTTGAAGTCTACACATACGCTCAATTCAGGGGCCATTCTCTAATTCTCAGGGAGCAGGTGGACTAACCTTCTCATTCATAGCCAGGATCATCATGAGCTTTCTGAAGAGAGTAATGAAATCTAAGAAGAGGTCAACGCAGTGCCTGAAACAGAAGAACCAGATGACCAACTGGCACGTCCCACCTTCCTCTATCCACAGCCCACAGAGGGGCAAAGCACAAAAACCCCACACCCACCCCATGAGTGAGTTTCACCAACACTCCACCACCAAGTGTAACTCTGATGTCCGAGATCCTTTTCAAATCAACAAACCCATGCAGCACAGGAAGAAGAAAAACTGAGCTTTAGACTCTGCAGGGCCTGCATGTGAACCCCAGAATACCATTAACTAGTTAAGAGACTCAGAGATTACTGCATTTTTTCAAAAGTTATACATTAAAAAGAACATGTATCTTCATTATTAAAGGTTTAAAAATATAAAAATATAGAGTAAAAGGGGAAAGATTCCTTTCCCCCTCCATGCCTAGAGATAACCGCTATTAAAAGTAAGGATAATTAAATGCGTATTATTAGTTCAACTTTAAAAAGAGCTGATGTCTTCCGGGAATTGAGGGAGCCTGCTACTTGGCGCACAGCTCCAAAACCACGGGCACCCTACCACATACCCGAAGGCGGGCCAGAAAGCTCAGCCAGTGCCACCTAGGCCGCTCTCACCCCTCCCGACAGCCGCAGAAAGGGAGGCGTTCAAGACCAGTTTTCACTCACCAGATATAATCCTTATCTCCATTTTCAGCCTTTTCAATAATGAGTTGAGTATCAAAAAGGACAAAGCCACACATGACCACCAGCCCCACATACAGGTTTGCCTAACAGGAGAAGAATGAGATAAGGTTACCATGTGGGAGACGCCAGAGGGGAAAAACCAGTCGTGCCTCTTTTTGGCTCCTGGCTGTTCGAAAGTAAACAAATGCTAACCCTACTGGCAGGAACGTTCTTGGGAATGGAAGCCTATGGTAAAGACCACATTACTTCCCTAGGCACAACTCTGCACTGCCCAACAAGAGTGAGCATTCTGGAGGATTCTTAGTCTACCTTGCTTTAGGGTGAAGCAAGTACAAGAAGTGCAAGGCAAATGGCTGCTAGAAAGTTACATGCAAAGTCTCACCTGGAAAAGCCAAATGGATCCAAAGAAAAGGTTCCCCAGGGAAGACAAGAGCATCAGGCTCATGGCTGACATCAAGACACCTGTAAGAGATGACAAAAAGCCATCCTGAGAAAAGCCAAAATGAAGTAAGACAACCCCATTAAAGCCATCCTTACTTACCCCCACCCCCAAATTAAGGCTTTCAATTGCAACCTGACAATCACAAGAAGTTGGAAGGTAGGGAAAGAGTCCCAGTGCGAATTCTGGCTAAAGCGAGACTCTGTTTTCCAGTCCACACTTACCTCCCAGAAAGAGGTAGCTCCGGCGCCTGGCATACAGGGCACTCAGGGTGAAGCAGGTGAAGATCATTGCTGTGCCCATGAAGGCGGTGGGAAGAATGCTGTTAGAGGAAAAGACCATTAGACTGAGGGCTACAGTTCTGCAAACCTATATTTAGGAGGCATATTTGCAATGATAAAAAGACCTAAGATACTATTAAAATAGTTACCTGGGGTTGATAGCAATGCACAGCTCCAGAGCAGGGCCTAGGCCAACTCCTAGAAAACAAAAAGCCCCCGAACACAATATTACCATCAATTCCTGAAGAGGACCCTTGTCCAAAGCTGACCATCAAAAGCACAGGCAGGCCCATGATCCTAAAAAACCAAAACATGTGTACTAAAATAATTAAATCTCTCTCCTCTATCTGCCTTAACTGTTTACTGACTGAGTTATTTATTTATAGACAGAGCTACAAAACTGTTCTCTTAGATGAAAATCATGGATGGCCCAGGATGAAAACACATTAGGAAAAAGGAAGCAGGGGCGCCTGGGTGGCTTAGTCGTTAAGCGTCTGCCTTCGGCTCAGGTCCTAATCCCAGGGTCCTGGAATAGAGCCCCGCATCGGGCTCCCTGCTCGGCAGGAAGCCTGCTTCTCCCTCTCCTGTTCCCCCTGCTTGTGTTCCCTCTCTTGCTGTGTCTCTGTCAAATAAATAAATAAAATCTTTAAAAAAAAAAAAAAAAAAAAAGGAAGCAGGCATGTCAAACATTTTTGAGCAAAGCTATAAGGCTGCAATACTCCGAAGAGGAGGGATGTGAGACTATAATGTGGGCCAGGTCAGGAATTAGGATAGAAATATCAAGAGCAAACCAGTGCCTTGTGGCCAGCAACCTAGTCATGCAGGACTGACTCCCTTTGTGAAAAAGGCCAGACCAGTTCTGCAGGTGGACACTTGCCAAGAGGAGAATGCAGTGGCAGCCTGTTGCAGCCCCAACATTTCCTCTACTCTTGCTACTCTCTCTCCTCGTCTGGTAATTCTACCCCTTACTGCCTTCAAAAACTAGCTTTCCCTATTTTAAAATCTTAATCTCTAAATCCCTTCCTTTCTCCTACAACACTACATAGATTAGACACACTCAAAACAAGTTGTACTGGGGGGGCGCCTGGGTGGCTCAGATGGTTAAGCGTCTGCCTTCGGCTCAGGTCATGATCCCAGGGTCCTGGGATCGAGTCCCGCATCGGGCTCCCTGCTCCTTGGGAGCCTGCTTCTCTCTCTCTCATGAATAAATAAATAAAATCTTAAAAAAAAAAAAAAAAAAAGTTGTACTGGGGCGCCTGGGTGGCTCAGTCGTTAAGTGTCTGCCTTCGGCTCAGGTCATGATCCCGGGGTCCTGGGATCGAGCCCCGCGTCGGGCTCCCTGCTCAGCGGGAAGCCTGCTTCTCCCTCTCCCACTCCCCCTGCTTGTGTTCCTTCTCACTGTGTCTCTCTCTGTCAAATAAATAAATAAAATCTTAAAAAAAAACAACAAAAAACAATTTGTACTAAGTCAAATGCTGCTTTGCAAGTATTTTTACTATGTAGCTTGAGTCCTGTTTCCCTTAATGATAACTCTAGAAGAGCTGTGCTTTTCATTCTTTCTTGAGAATCAGCAAAGTGCTCTGTTGGATGGATCTCAATGTATGGCTTTAATTAATTGTCCGCAAAGTTCAGAATAAATGGTCACAGGAGTGATAGTTGCCAGTGTAAGTTCAACTAAGTTAGAGTTTCAGGCCTAGTTTAGTCCCACGTCGACCATTAACAAGTTATGCTACCTAAGCTCTTGAACCGCATTCATTTAAGCACACAAATGCTTATTTTTGGATATAAAAGTAGAAGTCACAGTCACTAGTCCTAAAGAGCTAATCCTCTGGATGGGAAAGCAAGATGCACCTCTATGAAATAAAAAAGCAATACAAGGCAAAATATACTCAAATACAAGACTGAATAGTACAGTGTGCCAGTTGGGATGAACCACAATACATACAAACCTGGGGCCTTAGTCTACAGAGATACTAGATACAGTACCCCTAGTACCGCCCTCTCCCACCCCAAATTAGCCTAGTTCCTAACATACCTGTAAGGAAAGCAAATCCAGCAAGAAGTCCCAGTCTTTTTTGCTCAGTTTCATGGCTATGAGGTGTAGTCATCAGCCAAATCATCAACCCCAGGGAGCCCAAGGCAGAGAGCAGGCCAGCCTGTCAGATCCAGAGTCAATAATGAAATACTTGAAAATACCGAATTTATTCTGTAGACCTATTCACCTGAACTTCCTAATATTTCCTTCTAACCTGGAGGCAGTGGAAAGGCAGAAGGGACTAAGGAGCGACTAGGAGCCGTGTAGGACAGGGCCAGGACCATGGTGGATGCTGGAGGCTCTTCTGACCCAGGCAGTCCATGAGCTACAAGTACCCAAGTCAAACTATGAGTCTTGCCCAAGAAACAGATCAGGGTGACAACTGCTTGAAGCACATTCCAATGTGCAGGACAAGTAAAAATGATCCCTTTTTGATCACTTTAAAACACACACACAAATATAGATACCCATACATCGAAAAAAGACTGAGAGAGTGCTACAGATTTAACGTTTATGCTCCCCCCAAACTCATGTTTAAATTTTAACCCCCAATGTGCTGATACTTCGAGGTTGGGGAGGGGGTGTCTTTGGAAGGTGGTTAGGTCATGAGGGTAGAGCCTTCATTAGTGCGCTTACAACAGAGATCCCAGAGAGCTCCCTCGCCCCTTCTATCATGTGAAGACATAGCGAGAGGATAGTCTTTACACAGGAAGCAGGCCCTCACCACGCAACGTATCTGCTGGTGCCACGATCTTGAACATCCAGCCTCCCAAACTGTGAGAGACATTTGCTGTTTAAGCTACTCAGTCTATGGTTTTCTGTTAGAGCAGCCTGAATGGACCGAGACAGAGTAACAATCAAAATGTTGTTATGTCCGGGTATTTTTAGTTTTTTCTCATGACTAGTCTGTTTTCCAAATTCTCTAAAATGAAAGTGCATTAGTTTTGTAAGAAGAAAAATATTCTTAAAAAAAAAAAGCAAGTGGGAAAAGCTGCAGGCAATTAGAAAGAGAAGAAAATCATCAAGGAGATATGCAGACACTGAAGTTCCTTCCTTCCTTTAAAGGTATAGCTGATCCTTGTTTTTCTCATAGTTATGTTCTATAAAGTCACTGTGAATAATGAATTAATGAATACTGAACAACTGCTCCTGAGAAAAATAAAGGGTTAAATTCTCATGCACCTCTGGTTACATTTTCTTCAACCGAAAAATGTGTTTTACGTGTGTTTATGTTTAAGGACACTTTATTTGATATATATATTGTTGGTTCATTAACCTGGAACTCATGGTCAACACACTCTAACTCAAGCCTGAACAAAGCTTACCTAACAGACATATTTTCTCCGTAAGACACATCACAGTCTTAGTGTACTTTTTTTTTGCACTTAGGAACAGCAGACCGCACTCTAGCACTATGCCTGGGGTCCATTTTAAATATTGACATCACCACCAAAATCACAAAAATGCAAAAAATGTAGCACTACACAGACTATGAAAAAGACCCTTGTTTATAGTACAAGAGTTTGAAGCAGGGCAGTGTGGCGCCTTGTTCAACCTCAGCTGGAACACAGTGCCATGCATAACTCAAAAGTTTTTGCTGTTCTGCTTAGGACTGCGAATGTCTGCAAAAGCACCCTGAGTACTGATTTTAGGGTTACAAATACATTTTAGCAAGTAGGCAATTCATAAATATAGAATCCACGAATAATGAGGATAACTGCATTTTACTACATTGCTTAAAAAACAAAACAAAAACACCCACAACCAGAAACCAAAATGGCCACTCTTGCCTAGAAGGTGGAGTATGTTTTAGTCTCAACTCCAGGGATCAAAGTTTTATCCTCTGAGTATCTAGAATAATTTTTCACACAACCTCTGCCAGGAGATGCCTGAGCATAGGGACAGTTCTCAGTAGTTGCAAATGCCAACACAGACACACTCCCTACACTTACACTAAAAAGGACACTTGGAAAGCAAGTCTTGGTTAGTGAGAACTTCAAACTTTTTTGATTATTTGTCAACTGTCCCTTTTATTCCTACTGGCCAAACCCAAGGTCTCTTTCAACAGAGGAAAGTGAGTTGTTGAAGGTTTTCACACAACCATGCAGATATAAATGCATCTGCGAATAAAATAGATCAAATCTTTGAAAGTCTCAACCCGCCTCTCCCGATTATCATACAATCAGTGTTCTATATCTAAGAACCCCACAGTCAAAAGCAAAAAAGAGAAAGAAGGCAGGAAAAGATAAAAAGGCTACTGTGCAAACCCCAGCACACACGCCATGCCATGACTCAGCGGGCTGGGGTCTTACACCATTCAGTGTCCAGGTTAAGACATTCTGTTTTCAGTACCTAGAGAGGACACAGCTGCCAGAAAACTTAAATAAGGTTCTGCATGTCCTTAGTTACCAGCCGGCTCTGGTGAGTTTAGATTGCAAACTACAGAAAAGGATTAAGGAGGGGTACAAGCTTGCACCACCCTGCTGAGCTGGTTTCTACCTACTGAAATCTGTGCCACAGCAACTAGGAGAGAAAGTGCTCTTACCTGAAGGAAATGAGTGACCACGTGGACATAGGCCCCCGCGGCCGCCACAAACATACAGAGAGCGAAACTGGCATAGACCTTCTTCAGGTGCTGCTGTGTTGAGGGGGTTCTGGGAAAGAACGTTAGTAACAGCCATTATTCTAGGACCAATTTCATTTCTAAGCTAACAATCATTTCCCTCTCTTCTTCCCAGGAAATATGTTTAAGTTATAAAAAAAAAAAAAAGAATATTTTGAAAATAGATGAATTGAGAATCTTAAATGCTGGGGAGGAGCCAAAGGTCCCATATTATGAACAATCAATACCCAAACTAGAATAACTAAATGGTTTTTCAGTGACTACAGAGTAGCTCCTAGAATCTGGGTGCTTTTATCAGATCCTCTGGATTCTAGCGAAGTTAATATGCCAATTAATACATACAAAAGTTAATAAACTAGGAAAAGTAAGATATGAAAGGAAATGCAATAAGAAACTACAGTCAAGATCAAAACACTTACATGTGGGAAAATTTTAAGAGTGCATCAAAGTTGATCTTCCGATCAAATATGTTCATGATGCCAGAGTCTGTGGGACACAGTCTCCGCTCTGTAGAATCAAGGATAAAAAGAGGAAAGGTTATTTTACAGATACAAGGACATACAAAACAACATAAACAACTTTCTCATAAAAATAGCAACATACAAGTTGGAAAAACGAAAGTATCTAAAATCCCACTGTCCTAGCACAGCCATTTTCATTTCTATGCATTTCCTTCTAGGATACATTTGCAATCATACTCAACCATTTTAAAGGACACAGAGGAAATGAAGCCATCTTCTTCTCCCTAAACTATTTTGTTATTAGCATTTGATTTCTATTCTTTCAGAAAGTAATTTGTCCCTTTGATAGTTTCTTTGAGGGTGCCTGGGTGGCTCAGTCATTAAGCATCTGCCTTCAGCTCGGGTCATGATCCCAGGGTCCTGGGATCGAGTCCCACATCGGGCTCCTTGCTCAGCGGGGAGTCTGATTCTCCCTCTCCCTCCACCCCTGCTTGTGTCCCCTCTCTTGCTGTGTCTCTCTGTCAAATAAATAAATAAAATCTTTAAAAAAAAAGGTAGTTTCTTTAAGAAATTACCAGTTAGCAATTAGTTAAAGGGATCCAGTCACTGGAACATAAAGCGATATTTATTTTTATTTTTTTGGGGGGGGGCGGGCAGAGGAAGAGGGAGAGTCTTAAGCAGGCTCTACACTGGGCCTCCACCCTAAGATCATGACCTGAGTCAAAATCAAGACTGGAACACTTAAGCACCCCTGCAATATAAAGCAATTTTATGTCATTGTATCAAGATGCTAGAGAATTCTCTCAGCAAAGGCATAGAACCTCAAAGAGGGAGGAATGGAGGGAGGAAGGAAGGAGATGGGCCTGGTACTAGGTCTTGAATTTTATTTATTATTATTTTTTAAAGATTTTATTTATTTGACAGAGAGAGAACAAGCAGGGGGAGCAGCAGAGGGAGAGGGAGAAGCAGGCTCCCCACCAAGCAAAGAGCACGACGTGGGGCTCAATCCCAGGACCCTGAGATCATGACCTGAGCCCAAGGCAGACGCTTAACTGACTGAGCCACCCGAGCCACCCAGGTGCCCCAGGCCTTGAATTTTAAATATATGCATGTAGAAACTTTCCATCCAATGCATGTTAAAACTGAACTGAAAGAGATTTACAATTTTAAAAAGAGAAAAGTTCCTCCATGAAAAAGGAATTTGTGCAGAAAGGATCTTTTTACATAATTTCAGAAATTTTCCTACAGAAGAGATGAAATAGTACAAAGAATTCCTATAAACCCTTTACCCAAATTTCCTAACTGTTAATATTTCACCATATCTGCTTTATCCCCTCTCTATATAGCAGTATATAGAGACTTTAAAATTTTTTCCCCCAACCATGAAGGCACAAAAATGTTTTTTCCCCCAACCATGCAGGCACCCCTAAATACTTGTGTGTACATCTGAAAACAATAATCAAAACCAGGAAATTAACACTGACACAATACTATTATCTGATCTACAGACCTTATTCAGATCTTGCCAACTGTCCCAATTATGTCACAGAAAGACATTTTTTTTTGAAGATTTTTTATTTATTTATTTGAGAGAGAGAGAATGAGAGAGAGAGCACATGAGAGGGGGGAGGGTCAGAGGGAGAAGCAGACTCCCCGCCGAGCAGAGAGCCCGATGCGGGACTCGATCCAGGGACTCCGGGATCATGACCTGAGCCGAAGGCAGTCGCTCAACCAACTGAGCCACCCAGGCACCCAGAAAGGACATTTTTAATTGAACTGTACCCAGGTTATATGCCATCAATACCATCAAGTTTGGCTCTTAAATTTTGTTCCCTCTTCTATTTCACATGCAATCCTAAATAAACACATTCAATCTACAGGGCTTAAAAAAAAATCTAATAAAGAATTTTCATCTTTCTAAGTATCAATCTTCCACAATCATCCAGATTCTTATTAGACCCATAATGCCTATTCATTTCACACTGACCAAAAAACGGGAATGGGGTGGTATTAAAACACAAAGCTAAGCAGTTTGAAAAACAAGCCAACTAGTCACGCCTATTCTAATGAGCACCTAGCCCCAATACTCAGCAAAACCAGTCTGGGCAATAAAAGTTACAATCCCAAACTGACTCCTGAGAAATCCTGGGCCAGTGGAAAGATGCCATTCTTCTAGTTCACATGCATCATTACCATTTGTTTCCTGAGTCTCACACTCTCACAAGTGCAACAATTACAATGGCTAGCTTGCTCTCTCTTGATTTCCTCTTTCCTTTCTCACCAACATCCTACTCACCTCAATTTTTTTGTTAGTTCTGTTCTTAAGGATGGATACAGTGAGAAGCTGAGGAACCTACTAAAGCTGCTGCTCACAGCTCTAAGTCCCGGGGCTCTGGGCCTTCTTGGTCTAGATGGTGCAATTATTGCAGGCTGTTGCAGGACCGACCACAGCCTTTCATAACCATGATGAACTCACATCCTCTAGAGAGCACACTCACAGGATGGCAGAATCCAGCACCTGGAAAGTGTCTTTGTTTAAGTCTTCCATTAACACCCTTAATGACATCCCCAGATAGAACTTGCAATAGTTCTGAAGCAACCTTCAGAGCCAAATTTCTCAGTATTCACAACAACAACACTGAAGTACCTCTTGCTTCCAATTTCAAGAGTTAAAAAAAGGAAGGGTGGGGGTGGTGAATGGGCATCGCAGTGTAAATCCTCAAATACCCAGGGGATTGTTAGTCAGAAAGGGGCAACACCCTGTAACCAGAACCCACTAAGTGAAACAGTGGGAGGGGATAATGGCAGAAACTCCTCTTTCCCAGTTTGCTCTTTGACATTTCCTGGGGGGTGCTGACTGCCTCTTAAAACTGCAGATGGAAAAACCAAAATTATCAAAAGTTGTGAGGACAGGGAGGGAGTATTTCTCCATGATTTAGTAGTGCCTTGTGGTTTAAAATAAGTAAAAAATAAATTAAATAAGACCAGTTTTCTAACACCAGTACTTTTTCTAAAATTTAAATGAGATATGTAAGTACCAAATTTTCTAGATACAAAGGCACACAGCAGTTTTTTTGAGAGAGAGTGTGCGCATACATACACACACAAGTGGGGGGGGGTTCCAGAGGGAGAGAGAATCTTAAGCAGGCTCCACGCTCAGTGTGGAGCCTGATGCAGGGATCGATCCCACAACCCTGAGATCATGATCTGAGCCAAAATCAAGAGTCTGATGCTTAACTGACTGAGCCACCCAGGCGCCCCAAGACACACAGCAATTTTAATAATAGCTTTGTAGGGAAAAAACACAATGAAGTATACATTTAATAAATGACATGATATGTATAGGACATAATTTATTTCAGAACTGTTAAAACGTAAGGAGGAAAAAGTTAGGTCTTAGAATCAAGGAAATATGATAGTTTGCTCTAAGTCTGTTCCAAACAGACAAGAACTAATGTAGACATAAGTAAAGAGTTAAAACGATTCTTACAAGTTTTGCCAGAGGGATTAAGCTAAGTAAGTTTCTAACTTACCCTCAAACTACTTGTATTCAGAAGCTGCAGAGAAAACATATCTACATTTCAATGTCTATATGCAAACTCAGCTGAACAAGATTCAATTGCATTCATAACTCAAAAATAGCAGCTCCCAGGGCGCCTGGGTGGCTCAGTCAGTTGGGCGTCCAATTCATGATTATGGCTCAGGTCATGATCTCAGCGTCCTGATATGGAGTCCAGGTCAGCTCTGAGCTCAGCAGGGAGTCTGCTTAAGAGTCTCTCCCTCTGTCCCTCCCCCCCAACTCCTGCACTCTCTCTCAAACAAATAAATCTTTAAAAAATAGCAGCTCCCATACCAAAAGTATTTTCAGTCCCAGGGAACAGTTAGCTCCTAACAGAGTCTGAAGTATTCAAAACCATTAACTAAGTAACTCAGCTAACATTTCAAAAAGGCCCCACAGTTAAATGAAAATCTTTGTTTTAAAAACAGGACATTAGGGACGCCTGGGTGGCTCAATCGGCTGGGCGTCTCCCTTCCGCCCGGGTCATGATCCCAGAGTCCTGGGATAGAGTCCCACATCGGGCTCCTTGGGGAGCCTGCTTCTCCCTCTGCCTGCCACTCCCCCTGCTTGTGCTCACTCTCTCTGGCAAATAAATAAAATCTTCAAAATAAAAAAAAAAGGACATTAAAATGACAAGTTTTATGCTATGTATATTTTACCGCAACAAAGGAAACAAGTATATTACAAGTTGCTCAAAAATTATTTAATACAGTAGTTCCCCCAACACACATCAGCCCATTATGATATCCATACCCAGCACTGGTCTGTCTCAAACTAGACACCAACTCATACAAAAATCTAGAAATTGCATCCTCTCTCCCACCCCACCCCCCAGTTCTAAATGTAAAACAGGGAAGTGGGATTATTTATTTAGAATACAATGTAGACTGTGCCTCCTAGACTCATGAGAAATTTGTCTGCATCGCATTAAGTAAATGTTCAGACGTTAATCATAATCAAATTCCTTTAATTTGGATCAGAGCTTCACTTAATGCCTTCATCCTTAGGAGAGCAGGAATACCAAACTTGACAGATATTCTCATCAACTAACATCTATGTCTTAGGTCTTGTTAAATCTCTTGTTTTGTTCTAGGTATCTTCCTTACCCTTGCCCTAAAATAATTATCATCAGGGGCCAAGCCGTGAAAACAACAACAACAAAAATTCTCTACATTCTTATTTCAATACCTATTAAGTATAGTCCATATGAAATACGGCTAAGTGGCCAAAAGCTATGCAAAACAGAAACAATCACAAATTTTAAAAAAATCCTTGCCTTTGAAAGATAAAAGCCCGCTGACTACTGGGCAGAAGCCTGCCTTAATATTTACAATTTAACAACAAAACCAGCAATTCAGGGGCACCTGGGTGGTTCATTCGGTACAGCATCCAACTCTTGATCTCAGGGTCATGAGGTCAAGCCCCACATTGGGTGTGGAGCCTACTTTAAGTATTTTTTAAAATAGAGCAAGTCAAAGAAACATTATTCACACATTTAATTACACATTTAGTTGTGAATTATATGGTTCCTCATTGTTGTTGTAATTCGACCATTCTGAGTCCCCTTCCCACATATCCTGATGGAACCAACTGATACTTAAGAAAAACCCCATGTGGTTAAAAAACTGGAGTGGGGGGGTAGCAGAATTGTATTTTTTTAGTAGTTCTTCCTATTGAATAGCTTTCAGACTCTGTATAACCATGTTATCTGTTAAGAGCTTGGCTTGCTGCACTTGAATCCTGATATTGCCTTAGCTATGTAACACACAGCAAGTTTCTGGCACTTGAACCTCACTGTGCTTTAGTTTCCTCATTTGTATATAGTAATATATAATAATATCTATTTCACAGGGTTGAGGATTATGTGAGATAATACAAATAAAGTGCTTAGAATAGTGCCCCATACAGGAATGCCTGGGTGGCTCAGCTAGTTAAGCATCTGACTCTTGATTTGGGCTCAGGTCATGATCTCAGGATCATGGGATCGAGCCCCGTGTCAGGCTGTGCCAGGTGTGGAACCTGCTTAAGATTTTCTCTCTCCCTCGCTCTCCCTCTGCCTCTCTTCCCCCCACCTATTCTCTCATGCATGCATGCTCTCTCTCCAAAAGAAAGAATAGTGCTTCATACATAAGACTGGCTCCATATGTTAGCCATTGTTTTTACCAGTGTAAATACTCATTACTCTCATGTCCTCAGTGCATTATTTTCCCCTAGTTTTATAAAATATTTATTGCAGGTCTAATCTACATATGCCCTGTAAATTAATTCTTTAAATATTATTTAACCACAGTTAACTATATCCTGAAGACTTAATATTTACCCACATGAATAAAATTAAATTGGGGGAAGAGGGAAGAGTCTAAGAAAATTATAAACTGGAATTTAAAGGAATTTGATAAATCTTATTACCGGCTAAAATTACTTTTGTGCAAATGGCAGGCCTCTCCTTGGGCACATTTACACTGTACCTCCTGTCCCACAGGGCCACAAGGCGTTTTGAGACAGCCTAATAACCACTAAGCGATAATCCGACGTGGCAGAGAATTCGATGAAGTAAATGGTCATTAGCTTGATGCCTTCCTTGTCATCCCTGGAAGGTAGGTCAGTTTGGTTTCAGGAAGTCCAAAGAACTGTTTCGACAGGCCTGGGCTCTGGTGGTCCTAGATTTGAACCCTAGATGTCCCAGCCCCTCCCTTAACTTGGTCCCAAATTCCTGGCTAGCGAGATTAGCTAGCTAACACCGGATCCGGTCTCTCTACGGTGCTGCTTCAGAACCCAGCTAGTAACTGGAGATGGAATGCCTACTGCCTTCAATAAATGATTTTTTGAACTTTCACACTACTGAACCTCTCTCTGTAACCACAAGTGTTTGACAGACTGGATCAGAAAGAGGCCCCAATGTCCTAAATACATACTCATTTTCCAGTGTAAACCAGTAATCCCTTCCCAATAACAACATATTCAGCCCAAATTAAAGCAGGCATAAATGAGGACAAACTTTTTAAGTGTTTTGGATTCCAGTTAATTGTGTCGGAACTTCTTGCATAGATGGCTGTAAGCACCGTAAGAGCAGAGCTTGCATGTGATTCAGCTTTCTGTTCCCCCATATTTACGTACAACCAGGAGTCCCCAGAGCAAATGCAGACCCCATTATCTAATGAGGAGTGTCGCAACCTCAAATCAACACTCCCCAGGTGGCTCAAAGGGGAACCTACCCTGAGGACTAACTCGAGTGGCCCGAAAAGCCAATCTCTAGTTTTCCTCTCCTTGGTTTGAACACCGTCTTTGGAAAACAAAAATGTGTTTAATACAAAAGCTACTTCATGAAGCTTGGTTAGAACTCGGGGGGGGGGGGGGGGCGGCACGGGATGCCTGGGTGGCCCAGTCAGTTAAGTGTCTGCCTTCAGCTCAGGTCATGATCTCAGGGTCCTGGGATCGAGTCCCACATTAGGCTCCCTGCTCAGCGGGGAGTCTGTTTCTCCCTCTCCTTCTGTGTGTGTGCGCTCTCGCGCTCTCTCAAATAAATAAATCTTAAAAAAAAGAAGAAGAAAAAAAACTCTGGGGGAACAAAACAGGGTAAAGTGGAAGACCTTTCTAACAGCTTCTACAGTCAAGTCAAAGTGGCAAAGGAAAATTTAGCAGACAGAACATCAAGAGAATATTCAGTATTTTCCCAAAGGAGATTAACACCCTTGGGTAGTTTATGAAATAAAGTGAAACTTCAGGCCAGCAGTAGTACCTTCTATAATACGACTACATTTATATAAAACTTTACAACTTTGAAGTGCTTTTATATACGTTATCTCCTTTGACCTTCACACCAATCCATAAAGAAAGGGCAAAAATGATTAATCTCACTTTAAAAAGAAAGGGCAAAAATTATTAATCTCACTTTAAAAAGAAAGCTTAAAAAGGCAGCGTTAATAGTGGCAGGAGCACTGGCTTTGGAGTCACAAATCCTGCCATTTTCTACCATGTAACTTTGGGAAAATCATCTAGGCTTCCTTATCTGTAAGATAAGGATGATTAAATAACACCTGGGCTACCAAGCTTACTGAATGCCAGTAAAAAAAATCTGTGGGGGGCGCCTGGGTGGCTCAGTTGGTTAAGCGACTGCCTTCGGCTCAGGTCATGATCCTGGAGACCCGGATCGAGTCCCGCATCGGGCTCCCTGCTCGGCAGGGAGTCTGCTTCTCCCACTGACCTTCCCCCCTCTCATGCTCTAATAAATAAATAAAATCTTAAAAAAAAAAAAAAATCTGGGCGCCTGGGTGGCTCAGATGGTTAAGCGTCTGCCTTCGGCTCAGGTCATGGTCCCGGAGTCCTGGGATAGAGTCCCGCATCCGGCTCCCTGCTCCTTGGGAGCCTGCTTCTCCCTCTGCCTCTCTCTCTCTCTCTCATGAATAAATAAATAAAATCTTTAAATAAATAAATAAATAAATAAAGATTTAAAAAAGACACAGGGGTGCCTGGCTGTCAGAAGAGCATGTGACTCGGGCGCCTGGGTGGCTCAGATGGTTAAGCGTCTGCCTTCGGCTCAGGTCATGATCTCAGGGTCCTGGGATCGAGTCCCGCATCGGGCTCCCTGCTGGGCGGGGAGCCTGCTTCTCCCTCTGCCTCTCTCTCTCTCTCTCATGAATAAATAAATAAAATCTTTAAAAAAAAAAAATCTGTGGGACACAGATAAAAAGTACAGCACAGCGGAATGTAGTCAGTGACACTGTTAATAGTGCTGTATCGTGAGATGGCAGCTACACTTGCGGTGAGCATAATGTATGGACCTGAATCACTATGTTGCACACTTGAAGTAATGGAACATTTTGTGTCAACTATACTTCAATTAAAAGAAAAAAAAAAAGAGGAAGAATGAAAACCTGTGTGAAATCATTGTAAAGTGCTAAAAGGACATTAGTATTGACCTGACCAACACCACAAAGTTAAATAGTAGAGCCAGAACATAAGTAGGCCTTATGACCTCTAATGCCTGGTGCTTTTCCTACTATTACAGCCTACAGTAGAAAAGCAAGTTTTCATTAAGACAGTTCCAGCCATAGGCCAAGAGAAACTTAAAAAATATTAACACATGTTGATTCCTATTACACTTCTCTGTATTTTTCAGCACTTCTACAATAAGGATGAACTATATGCATAACCAGGAAAAAAATTAGAATGCTGACTAAATATCTGGATTAATTTCACCTTTCCTATTCTTAGGAGAGTAAGACTTCAGTCACACCAATAGTGGGGAAGGGAGAGACGGGAAGAAAGAGGGTTCACTAAGCCATGTTTCCACAAGATGAATAATGGAAGAAGGAAACTCTAAATACAAATTACAGAGAGTGTTTCTCAAGGATTTAACCCTTCTGTCCCTATTGGAAGAAAATGGTAGAAAACCTAAGTATCAACATATTCTTGAAGCCAGAACAAAAAATATTAGACAACAGAAATAAGCCACCAAACAGAGTAAACCTAATAATTACAGAAATAAGTGTATTTGTAGAAGCCATAATAACTTGGTTATACAACGTGAATAATCTCTCTTGAACTGAATTCTTAAACTACACATTCAACCAAAAGATAAACTAAAACTAGGGGCGCCTGGGTGGCTCAGTTGTTAAGCGTCTGCCTTCGGCTCAGGTCATGATCCCAGGGTCCTGGGATCGAGTCCCACATCGAGCCCACTTCTCCCTCTCCCACTCCCCCTGCTCGTGTTCCTGCTCTATGTCTCTCTCTGTCAAATAAATAAATAAAATCTTTAAAAAAAAAAAAAGATAAACTAAAACTAAGTATTAATAAATAACTAGAAAAGTCTATTCGCCATTAACTTTTAACCTTAAAATCTTTGTGTTTCAGGCACAGTCAGCTCTTCTACTGAGTTACACATTCACAAGTTAACTATTGCTAGAACAGTCTCAAGTTCAGAGAGGTTTTTGTTATTGTTGTTTGGTCAATGAAAGGCTGGTGGGGTAGGCAATGCAGTCTGGGCTGGTCCTGAGTAACAATTCCGCACTTAATAAATATACAAAAATACCAAAGCCTACTTACTACCATAGCTCCAGCAAGCAGATCCAAGAAAAAAAACAACCGCCCAACGACGCCTTTCCTGCGCGGGCTTTGAGAAAGACGCCCACAAGGCTCAGGACCAAGCAAAGCCAAGGCCACCTCACCTGTCCAAAGGTAATCAATCAGACCCGAACTGGGCTGGAAACCCAGGAAGGATCTTCTCACCTTCCGCCTCTGCTTTCGGCTTCCAAGGAACTAAGGAGGTTCGCGTGTCACAGAGGAGTGTGACATCACCCGCCTGGCCATGACAGGGCAGCCTGCCTGACCAGGCCCTTTGTCGAGTCCTGGCCCTCGCTGCTCACCCAGAAGGGGCCCAGCAGAGGGCCCAAAGCAGAGAAACAATCAGTCGGGTGAAGCGGGGGTGATCACAAACCCGTGAGGTTTCGCTTTCATTAGCCTCGGAAGGAAGGGGTGGGGGACGTGGCCTGAATTTAAGTAGTCAAGGCTGTGCCAAAGTGCCCCTGCGCCTGCTCTTGGCGGGGTGAAAAGGAGAAGGAACGCAGAGTGGGAGGAAGGAAGAAAGAGGGACTAAAAAAGACCCTTCAACAGCAATCGCGCGCAGAACGGGAGCCTCGACGCCCCCCAAAACGCAGCAGACGCTCCCCAGCCCCTCCCCCGCTCCGGAACGGTTGCGCATGCGCGGTACTAGTTCCCGAGCTTCCCCCCCCCACCACCCCCGCGCAGCTTTCCGAGTCCCGTCGCGGAAGAGGGCCCCATTCCCCGAAGGTGCAGTCTGTCCGAAAACCGAGACTATTCCCACTCCTGCTCAGACAATAATTGCCAACCCCATTTCCATTTCTCACTCCCGGCTTACAGTCCCAGCTTCAGACGTACGTTCTTACCGGCCTCCCAGGAGCCTGCACAGTTCTTCTAACACCGGATGTGCCTCTGACTCTCCCAGTGTCTGCTCCAGACTTTTTACCCAAGCGTCTGCCCCTCGAGGGAAGCTCCGCCCCTGCGGTCCGCTTAAGGCCAGTCCTCATTGGCCCCTGGCTGGACCTCTGCCTTCCCATTGGCTTTACGTGCGTAAACAACGGCTGCTTACTTCAGAGCCATTCGCTAATGCCCTTGTCGATCAAGACGCTGGCCGCCAACCGGCGTCGTAGAAACGGTCTCCGCCTCTTCCCCATAGTTAGGTAGGACCGCGGTCTAAAGCCGCCCCTAGTGGAGAAAGTGAAGAGGGACAGGCCCCACCCAAGATACCTGGCATGTCACCGAGCCCCGCGACGCGTGGTGGGATAGCGCAGCAAAGTCCCGGGATTCTGGTTTTAGGCTTCTCATGGAATGTTAAAGGGAGAAAGAGATTCAGATAACACGTAAAAAAGGGCTCTCATAGGGGGCAGTCTACCATGAATCGAGTGGGACGTAGGCTTCCGAGCACTTTTGAAGGCTCAGCGAATTGTCCAGGAATTCGAGGAGGACGTAGCCGCCCCAGTCCGGCATCGGAAGCACCGACGCGCTCTAGCCCAAGTGGTGGTCCTGGGGCCGCGTGCGAGACTGGGGGGCTTCCAGGATCACCTTCCCTGCTTGGTGGAGACAGGCGACAACTTCATAGTCACTTCTGCCTGTGGAGTGGGGTGGATGGGAGAGGGAACGAGGGCGGCGACCTGGCAGAGCTGCCCAGGCAGCCCCGAAAGAAACGAAACCAAGGGAGATCGAAGGGCTGGAGCTCCCCATGAGCTTGTCGGGGGCAAGAAGCACCACCCGTGCGAGAACTTAGAGAAAGGAGTTGTGAAGCCGATTAAAAAAAAAAAAAAGTTCCTGTACTATCAATGTTTTAAATTACTTTTTTACTAATTTATCTAATATCTCTATAAAAATAGTACAAAATTGACATATGAAGAGGCAAAGAGTATGCAGACAAAAAATGTAGAAAAAAAGAGCTTATAGTGGTTGCCAGGTAAAAACGTTTTTTTGTTTCGTTTTGTTTGTTCTGGATTGTGTGATGTTTTTCGTTTTGTCAGCATTTTAAAATAGGCAGTGGTTTCTCTTTCTCATTCTAGATAAATATTGACTATTATATAATTTTATATTCTGTTTCTTAAATACAGCCCCCCAATTGTATGTTTTTTAGACTGCAGAGAATATAGATTCACCCCTGCCTCTCATTTTATAGATGAGGAAACAGGCCCCTGACAGAAAAGGTTCTGGCAAAGTAAGGAAAGAAACGTAGATTAAGCATTGGATGAGTGGGGATGAGATCAGAATCTGTCCTTCTAGAAGGATAGAACAGTTATCCTTTCAGTAAAGAATACAGATGTGCAGGGTATGATTCTCAGTACCCAAACTCAGGTATGCAATAAATATAATTTTACTTTCTACAGTACAACCTAATATTTACTCTGAAACTCATTCCATCAGAGTGGGTGAAAATGTATTATTATCTTCCTTGGGGTTTCTCTCCCCACCCCACACTAATGTCTGCCACATTTCTTGGGCTAATGTGCTTGGGAACAGGGCCTATCTTTTCCTGGTCGTCAATCCACAAACATTGCTGCGGAGGTTTTTACCTTTGTACTAGTGCAGCAGCCCTATTCCATGCCGTAGTTAAGGCACAAGAAAACTTTTGTCAGGCTAATGTTGAATTCTCTGCCTCGAAGAATAAGTTGCTAAGGGCTTGGTCTGTATGGTATTGACCAATATAGGTTACTTATTCACTGGTGAAAGATTATTCATTCCCTCCTGGCTCAGGGTCTCTCATGAGGTTGCAGTCAGATGTCAGCAAGAGCTGCAGTCATTCAAAGGCTTGACTGGGGCTGGAGGAATTACTTCCAAGGTAGCTCACTCATATAGCTGACAATTAGGTGCTAGCTGTTAGCTTGGAGGCCTGAGTTCCTCCACATGTGGTCTCCCCCTTAGGGCTGCTTGAATGTTCTTATAGCATGAGAGCTGGCTTCTTCTCTTCCAGAGTGAGAAGTCCCAGTGACAAGCAGCGCTAGATGGAAACTCTCTTTAAAACTTACCCTCATAAATCACATAGCAATCACTTCCTTATAATAACATCCTATTCCCAGGCTCCTGCCCTGGATCCTGTGCCTCAGAGGGCCTCAGCTTTGGAGGGCCTTCCTGGAAATGTTCTAGATGTCCCTTATGTGCCTGGGACCAGCCAGGGCCAGCAGGGCTATCAAAGCTGAGCCCAGACCAGGCCCTGAATGAGCCCTTGTCCCAGTTTCTCTCCTTCATGGCACTCTCCAATCCCACGTTGCCTGAGAAACTCTGGAACTCACGTCTATGGGGTCATCCCAAGGCCCTGAGACCAGGTCTCAATTTTAAGAGGGCATCCTGATGAGCCAACTACTCTTTCTGGACAGCACAGTATTCCTTTTGGGGAATCAGGTGAAATTGTCTCCAGGATGGTGCTGATAAGCCTATTTGTAGTCTCATGGAAGATGAGTTCAGGCCTCTGGGCTACCAACAGAGCTTCCCCAGCTCTTGGACTTGAGTCGTGTGTATGGGTCCCTGTGTTGACCCTCTCTTTTCAGTGTTCTGAATGTGGAGCTACCGGTGGTCCATAGCACCAGAGGACAGTAGACTGGCAGCAGGCATCTTTTCTCCTGTACATCATCGCATACCACCACCCCACTGTCTACTCCCCCACTGGCACCCAGGGCAGTAACTCCATTCCCCCAAACACCCTGGGACACATATCAGGCAGTCATCTGGGAGTAACCCCACCTTCCTCCTCCAATATAATTTCGAGGTGCTTTTGAGACCCATCACTTCACAGTACCAATAGGCCTTTTCCAACTGATGTCCTCTTTTGCTTCTGAATGATGTGGTGATAAAATGCCCTCCTCATGTCAGTCTTAAGTCATGCCATATGAGGCATGCACAAATGGCATCACTCCTCTTGCTGCACCTGTGAAGCCCCCACATATACTCCCTGTTGGTGGTGGTGTATGGAAGATAGGGATGTGGTCAACACTGAAAGTGATCACAGTCTGGGAATGCTGTGATTATAGAATACAAGAGAAGACACGTTTGGAGGAGGTGTTGTTCTATGTATATGGCATAAAATTCTGAATGAAAATTTGATGTGACTGTACAAAAAAATTGTTGTTCAAAATTTCCTGCATACTCTGGGTAAGACTTCCTTTTGTGGTCATCATCAACAGAGCACAGTAATAATTTTTGAGAGAGTCAAGGGCAACATGATGAATGATGCGGTGTCATGAGTGATGATATAGCCAGGAGTAAATAAATAGTATAGAAGAACTACAGAGACAAGAATATCTTTATTGTTTCAATATAAAAAGTTCCCAAAGAGCCGTGGCATTGTATTTAGTGTATTTAGTGTTATATTTTCTCCTGATAGGAGATATGAAATTAGCCAAGAATGATATCTTTGACAATAAAGAACATAAAGAACATGGTGGGGGGTGGGGGGTAGGGGTGGGGGGGTAGGAAATAGGTGAAGGGGATTAAAGGGTATAAACCCATACTCCTAATCATGAAGCTCTACTGCCTCTCATTGTAAAATTGACATGTATTGTTAATGTAAATTTGTAAAGATGTGTGTGTGTGTTAATTTAATAAAAGCTTTGAAAGAAAATGACAGTTTTACCTGACTTGAAGTGCTAGGGGTGTATAAGATGGTGGGAAGGAAGGTGGGAAGATAGCAATAGGTTCTACATTCCAGAAGCTGAGGAGGAGAATGTGGCAGAGTTAAAGAGATGGAAAGCAGACTGAATTCCTGAGCCTAAGGCAAGGACGAAGAGGAGAACAGGAAGAGGGGGCAAGCTGGGAATGACTTGAGGCCCTTGGTCTAAATTCAACTTTAGGGGAACCACTGTGGTTTCCCAACAAATAGAGATAAAAATGGCTTCCCTGAAGTCATTTTTTCTGTATCTCACACCTTTCCTTGTCTACTTTTACAGGCTCAATACCTCCTTCTGATCTCAAATGCACTGACCTTGTTCTGCCCAGTGGTTATGAGAATAAGCAGCTCACAGGAATGAAACACATTAAAATCCACACCATCACTTATAAGTGTGTGTGAGTATTTAATATTCTGTTTAAGATTCAGGAGGAGGCCTCTTACTTCCCAGATCTCATTTGCATATCCATTGACACCTGAAGGACAGGAATGAAGAAAATTGAGTTTTCTTTTTTCCAACCTCAGTATTATGGGCAATTATTACTGAAGACCGGCAGGAGAAAAAAAATACCTGAAAATATAGCTTGCAACATTTTTTTTTTAAGATTTTATTTATTTATTTATTTATTTATTTATTTATTTATTTATTCGACAGAGAGAGACACAGTGAGAGAGGGAACACAAGCAGGGGGAGTGGGAGAGGGAGAAGCAGGCTTCCCGCAGAGGAGGGAGCACGATGCAGGGCTCGATCCCAGGATCCTGGGATCAGGACCTGAGCTGAAGGCAGACGCTTAACGACTGAGCCACCCAGGCGCCCCATAGCTTGCAATATTTTTTAATATCAATTCAGCCCCTTCTAACTTTGGAAAGCAATGATGATAAAGGAGTATTAGAAGAATGCTTAAATCTTTTCAAAGTGATTTTCCAACTGTTGTTTCGCTTTGCGTAATAACTCAGTAAGAAGGTAAGGCAGACATTATTAATCTCATTTTATAAATGAAGAAACTGGAACCCAGATTAAGTCAGTTTCCTTAAAGAGCTATCACAGATTCTTCATTCTTGGAAGTAATTAGCTCTCTCCATATCACTGCGGACCTCCGGTCTGAGCTTCAGATCAGTTACTTCAGTATTTCCCACCCCTCTAACGTCCACATTTTTCTATTCTCTTGCTGTTTCCAAGCCCCAAACCCTTGGCCAGCCTCTTCATCTGCTTTCCCTGGCCCTGCTCCTGTGACGTAGCACAGGTGGAAAACGTACTACACTCTTATAACAATTGCTCACTGCATTAACTCTTGTACTGCTATTCACAACAGATGATCC